GTGTAAATTCAGTATTCACCAGCTACCTGAATTTAATTCATGCTGATATGAATGGCCCCAACATGCAGAGTGAGAACCTTGATATGCAGTGTCACCAAACCAGAGCTCTCCGATTTTATTTAGTGAAAGTCTCTTTCATCTTGTATCAGCCACAATACCCTGTGTATATCACTTTGATTATAGCTAATTGCTGTCATCACAAAGCAGCTCTTTTTTTACGGCAGAATTCCCTAGGCGTACCAGACAAATTGGCTCACACAAAACTGCTTCATGTGTTTAACTGGATCAGTGTGGTACTGACACCTCTATTTTTCCAGTGCATGAAACATATTCCCATTGATGGGTATCTTTCCTGTTCCACATCTATAGCCATTTTTTAGGGTTTTGATTAGCCAAAATCTTCCTCTAGACTAGAGCACTGGTCCCATAGCTATGTGCATCTCTCTTTGTGCGATTTTGACTCTTAAGTGACTCAAATAATGGATTTTTTTCAAAGGTCCTCTAGCCTATCTAGTGCCCTAGACGTCTGCTATTTTTCCCCCACAACTGAAGTAAAAGACACCACTAAACACGACAGGAGGTTAATTCACGTGAACATGCTCATAAAAGAGCCCAGAAGAAGTCGAGAAAACAAGAGAAATTTAAGTTGGACTGTCACCATCTCTTGTAGATCACGCTTCAACAGATGAGGCTGCTTTTGCTTAGAGCTCTAGCCCAAAATAATTAGTGGGCTGTGTTAATCTAAATGTTATGGTGGGTTCAACATTGCTTTGTGTACAATGAATTATTCTTTGTCTTCCTTTCAAATATCCATAGTTGTTCTCACATTTGTGCTAGAAAATGAGTAAAACTTTCTGTTTTGAGATATCTAAGCCTTTTTAAAATGCTATATTTCACATAAAGTCAGAATTTTACATATTTCTATTTATTTAAAAAGAAATCTTATTTTACCAAGGAAAATTAACTTAAAACCAAGCATTTCTGATCAAAAGGAAAGGTATTTCTGATTTAAAGGAAGCTGCACTAGGATATATTTTTTATGCATGACTAGCTTTTTTGCTTATCAGAAAGGAATTGAGCACCAATAGCAAACAAGCAGGAGTCCAGAAATTACATTCACTAAAGCTAAGCACAACATAATGTTAACAGCTTCATATTCTATTCTGAATCAAGGGGCTTCAGTTTTCAGATGTTGTCTATGCTAGGCAAAATAAGCATGATCATAAAAGAAGTGTGCTTACATAAGACGACAATATATAACACAGTGGATGTCAGAATTTAACATTATACATCTAATGCTTCCAGTATTTTGAACAAGAAGTTTTGCCACAAATGTTTTTAATCGGGATGGTACTTCTTAGTTGCTGACTGTGAACACACACTTCGTTTACTTTATGCAGTTCTACCAACAAGTTGATGTGTGCCCTATTACCTGAATGAGATGCTGCTTTAAGAAGGACACTTTATTTCTATTTCAAGATGCTTTCTGTCTCTGTAGGACTCTTTCCAGTACTGCCTGATATTGATTAACTGCATAAAAAGCTTTCCATGTATATGTTCTTGTATTGCTGTATGGCACTGAGCAGTCTCTGGTCTCTTTTAGCTTGAAAAGAGAAGCCTGTTAGCTTTTCCTAAGGACTCAGCGTAGAAACAGAATAGAAGTAAACCTGCGTCCTTCAGTGTCACCAAGTGATAACAGGACAGACTTTTTCCCCTATCTCACTAAGGGAATATTGCAGAGGGGATGTTCAAAAATGCTTGCAACAGCTCTTACTGTAGCTTCCTGTTATTTATGGGTATTCATTCCTGGTCATAATGTGCAGCACAGTTGAGAATCAAAAAAACTATTCATAAAGTGGCATGGATGGAATCTGGTAGGTTTTCACTAGTGCTGGGACAAGTATTTTGTAATAATCGGGGAACTAGAGCATATTGTGTGGGGTCAGCATCACAAGTGATCAACATCTCCTGTCCGCAGCAAACTGGCATGTGATGCACACCTGGAACATCTCTGAACTTCCTATCCAAGACCAGGAAGGCCAAATAGAGTGAGAGCTGCCTCTGCTTGATAGACCTGCTCTGTCACCCAGGCCATTGTCAAGAAGATTAGGTTTGCTAGCTTAGGATGAAAGAAGGTGATTTAAATAGGCACTGGTAATGGTGAACTGCCACGCACCTTTCCTTTATTGTTTCAGGAAAAAATGCAGATAAATATATGTGTGCTTGCAGTCATTGTATGTGGAGCACTAAATAAAGCACATGAACACTGGAGGCTTATAGATCAGTGTGGTATGATTTCTTTACTGAATTGGAGGGACTCCATCACTGTACTATTTCTCTGCATTTGCTTCCTGCAGCAGTAGGTTTTTTACTTAGCATTCAACAAGACTGGGCATAGGAGGGATGCTTCAGCTCTGATGGGCTGAAAATATCATGCTGCTGCGTCTATTTCATGCTAGAATTTTTGCAATGGAAAATACTAACGTAAAAATTCACTCCGCTGTTTTCAGCAGTTTGTTCTTTGTTGGTGAATTGCATATGTGCAGTTTGAAGTTGTTTATTTTAGTTATTCCTAAGCTCTCCCAAGTTTGTATTTGTTTTGAGAACTAAGATCAAATATCTTTATATAAATCAAATTAGCAATTTGGCATGTGAAATTTTGCTTCAGTGTCATTTGCTATTAGGGCACAACAAAGACATGAAGACGGGGGAAAAGTATGTTTCCAAGTATTGAACCACACAGTTTCGATTTGGACTATTTGGGAAAAACAGAGCCACTATGAAGCTCTTCTGGGTTGACTACAAAAATTAAAAATGCATCTGGTCTTCTCATGTAGCTAATATTCTAAAAAGAATAGCAATGTTTTGTCACTACTATAGTGATTTTCATCTTGAATTATCTTTAACAATGTTAATTAATTAATTCCCATTACAACCAGATGAAATTAATATCACCTTCCTTCTGTCACTGAGCAAACTGAGGCCCAGGTCTAGCATTCCCCACTCTGCTCATCCTGTGTTCAGGCCTCTCTGAGTGTGCTCAGATTGCTTGCTGAAGTCATCTTTCCTTAAAGATCAAGATGTTGCAAGATCACTACCAGATTATGTTCTTTGCTATTAGCCTGAGCGTTTTTTTCTGTTTCCCAGAACTTATGAATGTACCGTTGTACAGAGGTCATCTTTTTGCCGAATAAGATCAAGGTGTTGCAAGATCACTACCGGATTATGTTCTTTGCTATTAGCCTGAGCGGTTTTTTTCTATTTCCCAGAACTTACGAATGTACCGTTGTACAGAGGTCATCTTTTTGCCGAATTGCTAAATAATCCAGCAGGGTACGGGGCTGAGTTCCCTCTCCAGAAGCAGAGAGCTAAAAGTAAAAGTCACTTCTAGGATACAGCTGAGAAGACTTTGTTCACTTTTGTTACATCTACATCAGAAATACTGGCAAATTGGAGAATATTAAGTGAGGAGCAACAAAAGGGATTAAAGGGCTGAGGAGACTGATGTAGGTAGTAAAATAAAAGAAATAATACCATAAACACATTTTTGACATTTCCTGATTAAAAAAGTCTAGGGGGTTTTTTTAAGATGCATGTTGCAATGACCACCAGATGAGCTGAAAATGAATTTCTGCAGATGTTGCTCTTTGTTATTCCATTTTAACTCAGGTGACTTCAGCCAAGAAATAAAATCTAGGTCTTACTCACTGACACTGCAACAACTCACAGATTTTATCAGTAGTAGCTGAGCAGAAATCAAGAGGAGCTATGGTTGTGTTGCATGTTTAAAAGTTGGGCCAATTTCCTTTTTCTGTCTTATTAGAAATAAATATATAAAAAAATTATCCATGTAAATAAATATTAAAAGTCTATCCACATAGCAGCCTACAAGTATTTAGAAGGTATGCACAAAGAAGTTATGGGAATTTTTACAAATCATATAATTTAGTTCAAGGTCATAATTTTCCCACATGCTTGAAAAAACCCACATTATGAATGGAGAGAGCAGAACTTCAAGGCTGGAACCTACATACATTGTTTACAGCTGCTATTCACATAGTTGCCAACCTTGCGTGACAGAAATGGCCCAAGGCACTGCCATCTCTTTTGTCCTTGTACTATCATTTTAGGTAGGAAATTGCCAAGTAGGACACCTGTGTAGATTATGTAATTTTGTCCCAGTCATAAATAGGACAAACACAGGAGTCCCTTTTAAAGCACTCTTCATGATGACTTTTTCCATCCGTCTCGTTCTATCTGGGGAGCTACTTGCTTTCATTGTTCCCTGGGTGGTTTTTTTTACTTTTTCTCCAAAATTTTTGTGTTTCTTCTTTGTGCCTCTTAAGGCCCCTTAAATTTATATAGATTTATGTTTGAATGAGATCTAGACCTCTGAAACAAAGGAGTACACTTTATTATGAAAAACAGTTTCCTTCCAGGGACCCCACCATTCTGCATTATCAAGTGTTGCATTGCCTTGGTGTCTTTGCTTTTCTTGCAAGAAGGGCTTTAATCCCTGAAGCAGAATCAAACCTATGGTGTCTAACGTCACGTCTCAGATGGGTTCATCTGACTCCTGCTTCGCCTTGCCTTTTGCTTTACCTGCCTTCGTGCATTTGCAGCATGGATTGATGCCCCCGTGCCCTCCTGCCAGGGTTTTGCCTGCCACTCGGGGCAGGGAGCAGTGGGGAGGATGCAGCCTATGCTGCAGCTGGATGTAGGAAGGACCCCCAGGTTGGCACACACTCCAGCTGCTGCAACTCCCCACACTGTCCCACAGCTCGGGATCTAACCCAATACATGTTGTGCACTCTGGGAGAAAATAAGTTTGCATTTTGAAGCAAAAATTCTGCATCTCTCACAAAGTCCAGCCTACCTGGCCTTGCAGTCACTCCTGTCTGTTTCTCGCAGGTAAATAGTTACCACTTCAGTGCAGACACCATGTTCCAGCACAGCCTTTCAGTATTGTGCCCACAGGTGGTTTTTCTCTCTCTTTGCAGGAATACGTAGTTGATGAACATGCAGCCATGCAAGCTCGATGGGAAGAGGCATCTAGAGAAACAATCAAGAAGACAACCAAGCCATGCCCCAGCTGCAATATTCCAGTAGAAAAAAATGGTAACTTTATTAGATATCTCATACTTAACTGTCTTTTAAAATTCATTTTACAATATAAATGTATGAATGTGCATGTGTACATATGCACACTAGTATTCCAAGAGAGGGAGAGCACACAGAGCTTGAATCTTCCCTCTGTCACTTTATCTAAATTATCTAAATCTAAATCACTTAGCTCTAAAGCCACTAATTAAGCCTCACAAAATGCCCGGCTATTTTATAGATAGGGAAAATGAGGCATAGAGAGACACTGGATGTAGAGTTCCTATGACTTCAGTCTGCTAGTTGTCTAGATTTTCCATTGTCACTGGAAAAAATAGACATTTGTAGGGCAAAACTCATCTCATGCTGAAACAGAACATGTGTCTAATGTAGGCCAGAAGAATCGCACCTAAAAGTGGGGTGTGGACAATTAGTCCTGCTGTAGATGTCTACACAGTATATAGCTAGCTGAATTTAGATGAGGTGAATCTCAGCCCAGTGACATGCCCACAGTAGAAGAGCAAGTCGGAGGAAGAAACATGAGCCCTGACAAACTAGTTGCACTAATCAATGCCTACCATGTAGGAAGAAAGTAATCTACTGGCACTGGGGTGATTAAAATGGGGAAAAGGAACAGCAAATAGGCTATACCGTACAGGCTCATGCTGTTCCAAGATTTAATTGAATTTATGTTAATTAATCAAAGTATATTAAAATTAGTGCCTAAATATTATATGAATATTAAGCATAGAGGATGCTTCTCAGTTTTGTGGCATCACTTATTCAAATGGGACTCTGAAAACACCAAATAAGACACTGTAAACTGCAAGGAGAGAACACTTCAAGCAGTGATACTACAGAAATATTACTGAGGAAGAAATAGGACAAAATCCTGAAGTCTGGTGTTTCATGAAAGAAAAGAAAGCAGTTGGCAGATGGAAAGTGGGAGACTTCTTCAAGCACAAGAAGCAGAAGGAAAGAAAGCATGAATTCAAGAGTGGGAAGGCAAGACGAGATTTGGCAAAGTGTAGAGAGCAAGGTGGGCAGCGGAAGAGAGATAACAGAGGGGTAGGTCAAAAAAATTATTTACAGACTTGTAAAACAGGCTGGAAACCAGAAGTTTGAAATGGATTAGAAATAGACAAATAATAACCATAACTATTCATACTTAACAGTTTGTGGATAGCCAAATAAAAAAACCTTCTGGTCAGGCTGGAAGCAGTGCTAGGACGTTTACTTTCTCTTAGACTCTGCAACAAATTCTTTACTGTTAAATTACAGGCAGTTGTCACTTGTCACAAACAGGATATCCCTATTTGACACCATGATATAATTGACACGACTCCCACTAATGCTTAGGGAAGTTGCTTGTAAAAATCCCTAATGTATCAAAAAGGAAATGAAGTCCATTATACTTTTTATCCTTGAAAGAAAATATTTACTGAAAATGGATAATAAGCAGGCAAAGACCTTTCCTTGCTTATAGCCTGACCCATGTCAGAACAGTGCCTCGTAATGCAAAATGCCAAAGCCACAGCAGTAGGCTAGGAATGTTTCAACATACTAGAATCGGCTGATTGTGCTGCTGCTCAGAGGGACCTCAGCAGGCTGGGAAATGGGCTGAGAGAAACTTCATGAAGTTCAACAAAGGGAAATGCACTGGTACAGGTTGGGGGCCAACTGGATGGAAAGGACCTGAGTGTCCTGGTGGACTACAAGTTGGACACAAGCCAGCAATGTGCCCTTGCAGCAAAGAAGGCCAACAGCATCCTGGGCTGCATTAGGAAGAGCATCACCGGCAGGTCGAAGGGGGTGATCCTTCCCCTCTGCTCAGCCCTGGTGAGACACATCTAGAGTGGTGGGTCCAGTTCTGGGCTCCCCTGTACAAGAGAGACATGGGCTGGAGCAAGTCCAATGAAGGGCTACAAGGATGATAAAAGGACTGGATAAATAAATACCTGATGAGGCAAGCAAACAAGACAGAGCCAAACTCTTCTCAGTGGTGCCCACTGAAAGCAAGGAAGGCAATGGGTACACACTGAAACACAGGAAATTTCATTTAAACATAAGAAAATGCTTTTTACCATATGGAGGTTGAAGACTGGAACATGTTGCCCAGAAAGAGTCTCCATTCTAGGATACATTAAAAGTCCAACTGGACACAACACTGATCACCCTACTTTAGTTGACCCTGCTTTGAGCAGTGGGGGGGTTGGACTGGATGATCTCTAAAGGTACCTTCCCACCTCAGTGATTCTGTCATTCTGTGAATTAAGGCGTGAAGCTTAAGAAGTGCAGTGCTTGCTTTCTTCTCTGGTCATGTGTACTGCATGTGCCAGCTTCTAGGCTAACATTTGTAAACTTGAAAGGAGCACTTTACTTCCGCCTAAGTACAGCTGGTGTCAAGAGACTGATGACTGTACACTGAAGTCTGCCAACAGTCCTCATTTGGGAGAAGTACACTGACTACACACAAGAGAATAATTCTGCCTTCGCTCCCCAAATGCTTCTGTGGACACTGTCTTTTACAAGGGACAGTGACAATGCCAATAACTTTTCTGTAATAGCCTATATTTCTCTATGTCAATAACTTTTCTATAATAGCCTGTATAGCTATAGGCATTGTAGAATACTTCTATATGCTAATAACTTTTCTGTAATAGCCGAAGTGAAAGAGCGAAACACTTCCCACAGCTCAATTCCCAGTCTGAGCGAGTTTAAACACACATCCACGTCTCTCAGAGGACTGCTGTACTCACAGAGCTGTAAGCCACGTTGCTTGAGGCACTCTCCACTCTGACTACTGATCTCAGCTGCCATGTAGCAGAGAATAACATGATTTATGTAGTTTAGCAGGTAAAGCACAAGTTTGACAGAGGGTGCCTATTGGGCTTCGGGTCCTGTGCCAGGATTGAGATGCATTTTACCCAGTGATGGCTTAATAGGAATTGTGAGAGAGGATTGGATCTAAACCTTAAGTAAAGTGTAACATGGAGGTTGGCCATTGGTATGCTTAAATTTAAATAAAATATTAAAATGTCTGGTGAATAGCATCTCTTACACAAAGATATAATCTGACAAACAGACCTTGCCATCAGAGCTAGTTTTCTCTCTCTGTCAGATGAAGCAGATAGGCCTATTATAACAGTCCAGTTCTTGTGTCTCCTGCTGTTTTTACCTTTTGAGAATCATTCTGGAGTGGCATTTATAGAAAAGGTGGTGTAAGGGTGGCAGGTCATACAGTAGGGAACACACACTCCCTGTACTTCCTATCACCATCCGGAGTCAAACCAAGATGACATTTCAGCATTTCTTCACTCTGCATGCTTTTCTTTCAGTTTGAATTATACAAGAGATTTCTTTGTGTGGTAAGCAACATAATTTCCAGTTGAAATATATTTCTGTAATGACCTTTGACAATGCTAATATTTTATATATTACAAAATAAACATATGATCAAGGTTGTGAGCAGAGAGATTAAAGCTGCTTTCACAGTATGGGCAAGTAAGAAACCCAACACAGGAAACATTGATGCGATCAAAAGGCTGCTTCAGGTACTAAAAAGGTCAAATCAACTTAAAATACTAATGTCATTTTGATATAATCAGCAGTCAGCCACCGAAGTCTGTGTCTCTTCATTTATTCCTCTTGCAAATCTCCCAGCTGTTGAATCCAAATTCAAAAAAGAATTGAATTTTGTTCAACTTCTGGCTTACAGCTTAAGCTACAAGGCTTACCCTTACAGTAGGGTAGAGTATCCTTGAGCAGGCACCTCCATGATTGCTTTGAGAGGCCACAGACCGTCATCGCTTTTCCCTATCCCTAGCGCAGTCTCTTCCCATTTCAGTCAGGACTGCAGTTCCTACTCCTGCAGTCCCTCAAGTGAAACCAGTACATTCCACCCCAATAAGAGGGGGAGTAGCAGGTTTTAGAAAGCCCAGGAAAAGTATTCTCCAGGTTCATTCTTTTATTAAATATTCTACTTGGTTAGTAAATGAGCACCTAAGAAAGTTGATTTTAAAACTGCTAATTGTTGATTAACATCTCTAAGTGTTTGCCATGTACCAAGGCCATTCTGTTGCTATTTTGCAGGTGGCTGCATGCACATGAAATGTCCTCGTCCTCAGTGCAGATTTGAGTGGTGCTGGAACTGTGGCCTGGAGTGGAACAGAACCTGCATGGGAGATCACTGGTTTGACTAGTGGTGCTGAGGCCAGCCCGCGTTGCTGCTAAAGTTTGCTTTCATCAGGGCCAAATTCTGAACTCCTTGCTTAAACAAAACTCCCAGTGGTTTCAGGGACACAGAGTTCAGAAGTTGGCCCAGTTTGTTGGTTTTTGCTTTCTTGCATATGCAATCATACCAAAATCCCACTGAAGTTATGCCAAGGGTTTTAAATCTACTAAGTAAAAAGAGTATTTATTTTAATTGCTCATGGTGGTACAAAGAATTGTGCCTTTCTGTCTTGTGCAGTCTGTCAGCACAGAGAGCAGGCAGGGTTACCATGAGGAACTTTGCTTGACATTTATAGTCAGGAATCTGTAACTCTTGCAAGAGCGAGCAGCCTGCCTATGTGTGTGTGAGTACGTGAGCGTCAAGGCGGGTGGAGGATATTCCCTGCATCAGCTGCTTTTTCTTTGACCACTCCTTTGCTCATTCAGCACAATTTTTGATTTTGAGGCAGTACTTCTTAACAGTTTTTTTGGCAGAGGGGAGACTGTGGCTTTTCAGTGTTTTCTTAGGGTTTCCTCCTAACAGGCTTTCTGTAGGGGTCTTGCTTTCAAACCAAATTCTCATAGAAACATCCAGCTTTATGCCGTATTTGTGCTTGTGTATTTGTAACGTACAACACACAACCTGCCTACATACTCATTATAGACTTTGTTACCATTGGAAGATTAGCTAAGGATGCAGGTTCAGCTCTAACTGTGACTGCTGTTGCAGTGGTGACTGGATCTGATTAAGTGTTGTGCAAGCTAGACTCACAGGGCTTCATTTTTCTTGTGCTTACAGCGATACTTTGGACATGGCAAGGGGAGGCAGGAGGAGACTTTTCAGGGGGGTTCTCCATCATCATTCTCCTAAATTGAATTAGAATATGGGTATATTTCCAAAAATACATTCACAGCTCAAACAGTGTGGGGCAGAGGGACATCTTTCATTTTGCAGTGTTAACACAGTAAGTAAAGCTTACTAGCATTTCCAAGCCTGAACAATCTTACCGTTTGGTGTGCTTTACATTGCTGTCTTATTCTGAAATGAAATGGATACTGTCCACGTCCAACATGCCATGTAAGGATTTGCACAATTCAGTTTTGGAAAAAAAAACGCACAATAAATGAAGTGGTCAAAATTTTAAACTTTCTTTATTTCTTTTTTCATTTGAATACAAAGTCAGTGAGTATAAAGATGTTGGGTGGGTCATGCATTTCCCTGACTGATTCAAACTCCCAGCTGAGAGGCTAGCCCTTTGATTAAAACATACTATTAGCACAAAATAAATTCCGGGGCCATGGACCTCTTGTATCAAGTTTGAATTAATATTTTGTATGGCATGACTGTAGAGTCCTGAATATACGGGTGTGTCTTGTATCAGTCAGTGCAGAGCAAGAAGCTTGAGGTATAAAGAAATCCCAGGCTCGCTGCAAAAATGCCCAGTTGCTAAAATCAGTGGAGTATTCATCTATCTCAGCTGGAAGTGACATTAAAAGTCTGAGGAAACAAAGGGATGAAAGGATGAAGTACCAAAAATGAGAGAGCGCACTGCTAGAATAAAGAAAATGAGAGAGAAAGGAAGAGGCAAAGAGAGGACAATGGCCATCTCTTAAAGGCCATTTCCCTTTTTGGCACCAGTGAACTAAAACATACGCAGAAGTAGCTACATTGAAGCGTAGGGGTGCAATAGAATGCTGTGATGTAGCTCATTTAGGTACATTATCTTAATGGGGATATTTTACTGCGAGCTCTGATTATTTCATGATTTGATTTCCTGTACCTGGGTCTATTTTATAATTTATATGGCTTGTTGCCAACAGGCTAGGGGAAAAAAATCACATTGCTTAATTTTACTTTGATAGTGTGTTACATGGGAGCTCATTGCTCTATTTCGTATTCACAAACATTTGGAATAAAACAAGTCTGAATCTCTTTCCCATTTTTTTTTTTAGTGTCTTTCTTACAGAGGAAGAAAAACTTGTTCACTGTAAGGCAGTTTCACTGAGTTAGAGCCTGCCCTAACAAGTTAATGTTTTAATTGTCACGTAGAAACATGTAATTTATGCCCCAGGATCAAGGTCCATTGAAGTCAATGGACTACCAGCTCCTGTATTTCTTTCTGGCCTGGGCAGGGCATGGCAGGCTTGAGTCATAAGGCTAAAATAGAAACATCTCTTTCTTGGGAAGAACTTGGCAGAGGATGGGATTATAAGCATTCATCTAAGCCATAAGCAAGGGCAGGAAAGGATAATAAAGAAAGGAGTTCCAGCACTGACTCAAGATTATTCTCTTTAAGAGACTGACTTTATAGACCCTTGTCACATAGGGTTTCTTCACACAGTCCAGATTTACACCCTGCAAAAAAAAAAATGTGGATCCTGCAGATTATAATAGAACATGTTCTGATCTCTGTATTAATACATATACATCTGTATCAGTATGCACACATACACAAAATTTGAGATGGTACAGGCTGTAAAACTAATTCCTATTTACAGTAAGGATAATTCTCATCGTTTCCACAATTTAAAGTGTATGAAAAATCAGGATTAATGCTCTGCTGACACTGTAAGAATGTTAGAATTCCTATAGAGATGTGTGAATTGGACCTAAAATTTCCTACACTGATAATTTTTTTTTTGCATGGAAAATGCCTTTTTAAAAAAATCTAAAACTTTCTTAAAAGCCTAATTGATATTGAAATTTGAAACAAAACAAAACAGAACAAACCAAGTCTTCAGTGTCTATTCAGACCGTTCTTCTTTCAGCTCTGAACTATCAGAGTGGAATTCATCTCACTCAACTATCTAGTTGGTTCGGTAGCCTCAGAGGCTCATGCAGAGACCTGTTGCCCATGTGTATGGGGGGAGCCTGCTGAGTTTTAAGTACAATTGGTCATGGCTAGAGGCATGATGGCAACATCCCTGCCAGAGACAGGGTGCAGCTCCTGACAGGATGAGCAGGACTGCAGAGCTCCCACACGCTCTTGGCTCTGTCGTTGGCCTGGAGAGGGGAGCCTTCCTTTTTTTAAAACTTATGAACTGGCATTGCTTGCTAGCATCCATGAAGCCAGAAGCCAGCCTTGGCAAATGTTTCCTCTGGTTCAGCATGCACGTCTCTGGAAGTAGTCCTGAGCAGCCATGGGGGTAATGAAGAGACACAGGACCCAAGCACGAAACAAGAGGGAAAGCAACCTGAGGGCATAAGCAGATGCAAAGGTTTCAAGAGCTTGTGGTTTTATGTCCTCCACTAGCATTACACTCTGGAAACACTAATATTTAACTGTATGTTCTGTATATTCAAGAAGATGATCTATCATGGTGGTATAAAGCAAAAAAGCAGTCTGTATCTTTTTACATCTAGGTTTAACTTTGTTAGTTGGATTCTCTTTACCTCGAACCTTCTTCACCTTTCAGATTAAAACAATTACAGACTTGTTCTTGGTACTGCAATCTGGGCTCCTTTTAGTGTGTGTTAAATGGATTAAGTACAGGATGTATGCTGAAGTATTCAATAATCATTATCTTTATAATAATTCAGCTCTATAACAACAAAGCAAATCTCTAATATTTAATTCCAGCTGGCAGTGAAATCTGAATACGGAGTAGATTAAGAAGAAAATATGTAACAGCTTGGCTCCCTAAGGAAAAAGCATATCTCAAAGCTTAGCATAAATAATACTTTGGGAGCCATGACTTTGACTAAAATATCATTTATATGTCTGCCTTATCTCATCGCAAACTGCAAGCCAAAGAATTTCATTTAAAAATGTACACTTTAAAAAAAAATCAGTAAATGGCACTCCAGAAGAAACATTACGCCACTGTTGGGAAAGAAAAGTTGTGCTCTCAAAGGACAGCAAGCAGTGGGGCTTGCTTTTTGCAAATGAATATTAAGGTACCATCTATAGTGCAAACCAGTATGGTAACAAAACTTTTTGCCGACAGATCTTGTAGATCATGTAAACTGAAGTAAAATTTCCATTGGTGGAGGGGAACCTGAGGTACTTGGAGGTGAGAGGCCAGATTCCAAGAGATGATGCTGCCCTGGAAGTTTGGGAAGATTTAGCCCTTTGTGCCAAACTTTCTCACACTTTGAGGCAACAACAACAACCACAACTGCTCTGTCCCTCATGTTCGCTGTGCTGCTCAAACCACTGTACAAGTAAATCATTGGGTGCAGTAAGCTCAATAAGCAACACTCGCAACAAGTTAGGAAGGATAAAGCGTACTATCAACTCTGAAGACTGGTTGGCCCCATGCTGACTTAATTTATCTGATTCAGCGTTTGACTACTATGGTGGTGGCTGATCTAGACAAACCCTATGCAGAGATGGAGAGCTGCAGTATCGCTCTTAACAACTAGATTTTGTTCCCAGGCAGCAAAATTCTTATGCTTCCTTTAGTTCCCCTTCAAGCAACAGAAAAGCCTGAAGAAGGCAGCACCGGACCAAGGCTCCCAGAAGAAGGAAACCCCCATGTCTAATTGATCCTGATGGTCCTTCAGCAACTTCACCCAGATGTACCTGACAGCACAGCATTGACAGTGATTCAGCAAAAAGAGGCAAATGTACTACTTCACATTTTATCTGACTTGATTACAGTTTGTAAGGAAGTATTTCCATCTCTAATTAGCAAATTTAGAAAGACACCTCTCCCTTTTTTTCAAACATGTTTGTCTACTGATTCCTATTATGTTTATTTGTGTATCTATTTCCCCATGTGGTTCCCCTTGTGTATCATCTACTGATTTCCAGCTGTGGCTTCTCTTCAGATAGTTAATGCTCTAGCAGTTTTCAACTTGTCTAGGAACTACTAGAGTACATGCACTGAGAGTCCCTTCTCATATTATGGGTAAGTACGTGCAGACCAGAAAACATTTAAATAGCTTTAAGCAAGCACTAAGGTAGGCAAGTTGAGAGAAGCTCATTTAATCATATGGAGAATCATATTTAATGTAGCGGTTTGTGTAACTGCAGGGATTTTTTTTTTTAGAAATCAGGTCATATGCCATTTTGGTTTTCTTCATTATTATTAATGGTGCTTTTTACTTTGCTTTTAATTTGTTTTTCTTGTCTGTGTCTCCATTTTTCTGAATAATGGAGTAATGGTTCTATGCCAGTAGATAAAATATGCAACAAGACATCACCTGTTACATTATTTTTTGGCTTTTATCCCTAGAAAGCTTGAGGAATACACATAACCCATGTAGCCAGGGAAATGCCATTATCTGTATTTTACAGTCAGGGAATTCAGTTCAGAGAGCATGTCGTGGTTTAACCTCAGTTGGCAACCAAGTACCACGCAGCCACTCGCTCACTCCCCACCCCCTCTGGTGGGATGGGGGCGAGAATCGGAAGA